TCTCTACATGTGCTTGGGGAGGAGGGCAGGTTGTCTTCTACTTACGACACAGCTGGCTGGCACACTGGTCGCTGTTGCAGTCACTGCACGGAGCTCCCGCCTTGTATGGGTGCCTTGGGTAATTCCCACTGCAAAGAGAAGAAACACTGCTCTCAGACCACCCCTGGAAAGACAACATTAATACCTACCAATAATTAGTTTTTAACCTGGCTTTTTCTTCACTTGTGTAGATAGGGAGGTAGGTTTTGGACAGTCCCTGTCTGAGTGCCCTGCGCCCAAGACATGCGGCGAAACAGAAGAGGTTAAGTAAACGAGAATGATCCGAGGGCTGGAGCAGCTCTCCTATGAGGACAGACTGAGAGAGTTGGGGCTGCCCAGTCTGGAGAAGAGAAGGCTCCGAGGTGACCTTATTGTGGCCTTCCAGTATCTTAGGGGGGCCTACAAGAAAGCTGGGGAGGGACTTTTTAGGATATTGGGGAGTGACAGGACTAGGGGGAATGGGGCAAAGCTGGACGTGGGCAGATTCAGGCTGGACATGAGGAAGAAGGTCTTCCCCATGAGAGTGGTGAGACCCTGGAATGGGTTGCCCAGGGAGGTGGTTGAGGCCCCATCCCTGGGGGTCTTTAAGGCCAGGCCGGATGAGGCTCTGGGCAGCCTGATCTAGTAGGAGGTGTCCCTGCTCACGGCAGAGGGGTTGGAACTGGGTGATCCTTGTGGTCCCTTCCAACGCTGACAGATTCTGATCTGTTTTAGCAGAGGACTTTAGAGCCCTAATGGCTCAATGGTTGGACTTGATGATCTTGGAGGTCCCTTCCAACCTAAAGGATTCTATGATTCTATGATTCTATAATGAGACATCCTGTTGTTTAGGAACCTGGAGACAGCAGTATTGCAATCCTGGGTATTAAAATAGACTCAAAGCTGGATAATTTGTGTGTGGAGACTGGGCTCTCAAAGCTGGCTCTAGCTATGAGAGCAAAAGCAGGTTCATTTACTGTATGTGTACGTGTGTACATGTGTACATGTACATCTCTGGTGATGGAGAATCTCTCATGGGTGGTGATTTCATACATTTATTAGTAAATATTTTAGGAGCACCCTGCTCCCTCTTTCTGCCAGTGATGTGTGTTTCATCACCTAATTTCTGCCTAGACTCTTGGCTTAATATTACTTGCCTGCATCTGATATTGCACCAAAGCAGCTCAGTGCTTCGCCTGGCTTGGAGGATGGCCATGGCAACATTTACAGAGTGCCTCAAACTGCCCATAAACACACACAGGGAGATTTTTTATGCACGCAGTCTCAGCAGAGCTGTGCTTTGTGGTAAAACCTCATTACTTGCAGCAAGGTGAGGCATTCATTGCTTGGTCTAAACTGAAGAAGATCCTGTGGAGTACATTCACTTTAGGAACGGAAAGTATGCAAGCATCTTGCTTTGGCCCTTAGCAGAGTTGAAAATAGTTAAGGATTAGATGAAGAACTTAAGTTGCTGTTTCTGAAAACCAACAGCTGGATGTGACATTACCCCACTTGTTAGTATTCAACAGCCTGCTTGCAGTGTCCTCACCCAGCAAGGAAGGGCCCAGCTTTAAAGCCCTCTCTAGAGCCACTCACCTCTCCAGAGAGTGCCCTGCCTGCTCTGCTGGATGCTGTTGAGGGTGAAGACGCCACTTTTCTTCCCCCTGGGGTCCCTGCTGACATAGGGCGAGCAATCCAGCATGATTTCTGTCCTCTGCATGACACATATTGGCCAAGGGGCAGAAAGCTTAGCTCATGCCTCTGGGAGGCTCTGGGGACAAAGCATCTCCTGGCGGCACTGGGGGTCTGCTTGCCTATGCACAGGGTTTCTGCACCACCTAGCATGGTGGTGTCCATAGCTAGTGCCTTGAAGGGAAAGGAGAGGCTGATCTGGGTGATCAGCAGGTTTTGGCTTGAGAACTGGCAGAGGCAATGGCCCCATAGCCCCCATGGGTGTGGGGCTTATGGGACGGGGGGTTTTGTTTCTTTGGCACAACAGCAGCTGTGGCATTTCAAGGTATCTGATCAAGAGTACATATTCTTCCGAGGATGAGGCACAGGCAACACGAATGCCAAACTTTCTCAACTTTATGGGCTGGCCTGGCCTTGCCCTGCCCCAACACTTGGCCCAAAATAAAAGCTTGGCCTCAGCTTTTAAACCTGTATTTAGATTGTGGTGGCATTAATTAGCTGAAGACATATAAAAAGCATCCCTCTAGCTGGATATCCTACTGACTATGCATATGAAGGACTCTTGGAAAAAATTTTACTTTGAGCTGCCCCAGCCTCATGAACAGCTCTCAGCTACTGAGACTCCAGGTGCATGCATTGTTCACTTCAGTATTTATCCAAAATATTGACATAGAGCCTTAATTCTGCAAGCACATGTAGAAGTATTTTCAGACTTCAGGCTAACACCTTGGCAACCTCCTAGGGCTATCTTGGCACTCAGGAGCAAGGGATTAATTTCCAAATGATCACTTCAGTACATTCATGTCAGCATCTTATATTTTACCCTTTTAACCAGTGACACTGCTTTTTGGCTCCAATACATAGCCCTCATCTAGCAAGAAAAAAAAAAAAAAGCTCATTGGACAGAAGTTTACCTCTTTCTCTATTTTGGGGACCATTTCCTCCCACAAAACACAGGAATAGACGGACCAATCTAATAAAGGTGTATGTTGTGGGAGAGAAGGGGTAGGACTCAACCTTGTGAAGTATTTGTAATGAAAACCTTACGCTGGCCCATAGTTGCAGATGAAGTGTGCTGCGTTGGTTATGGAGGAGTATGCCACGCTGGGACAGAAGTGGACAGCACAGCCAACCTTGTAGCTTGTAGCCCAAACAATCTGCAAAGACAGAGGAGTACACTGGTGACAAAGGCTTTGCTTCAGATACTGAAGCATTACAGAGAAGACCTGTCCTCCTCTGTCTCATGACAACAACTTGGCTGAGGAGCACTCCCTGGGCAGGCTTTATGGAGGAAAGCAGCACTAATGGATCTTGAAGTCATAGTTTGTTATAAAAAAATGCCTGTTTTTTTTTTTTTTACCAGTCATTTGTTAAAACAACCCTGAAAGAAAGAATAACTGGCTGTAATGGGTAGTTTTCCTTTTTTGGCAAAGGCAAAGGTGAAGATGGTCTCCTTTGGTCTCCATACTTGAAGGTAATCCATTATTTTTCTATTTTTCCTACTGGGGCAGATCAGATCAAATCTGTGCAGAGAAGGATCTGTGACCCGCTACAGGTCCTAGGAGGGCTGATTGCCCCCATACTAAATCCAGCTGGGATGTATAAGCACATTGCTGGAAGGCACTGGTGTTGCAGGAGGAGCAGAGAGAAGGAGCATGTCTGGGCTGTGGTCCTGCCTTTTAGCATCACAGCCACAACTAAGATAATCTAGAAGTGAGGACATTACATCATCTAGTGATCCTCCATCTACCAGAACTGTTGCAGGCTGACCTAGCTCTCCCATAGCTGTGGTCACTGATTGTGGGGCACTCCTCATCCTCACTTTGCCCTCTTTCTTTGGGAATTGTGGTTGGGAAAAATGCACATGTGATGCTTGGAATGCTGCAGACATGTCTTTATGTGTCTGTATTTCCCCAGCTCTTAGAATGTAGAGGCTGCCTGCCAGAGCTGTGACCTCATCCCACCATGCACTGCAGCCCACAGTCACTGCCATTGACTGGTTTTTGGCCACTGCTTGACTGTATCTGACTGATTGCTGGCTGTCCTGTTTTCTTCCTGGAAACAAATGACAACTGACATATTTAAAATAATAATACAGTGACTCTTTTCCTCCTTAAAATGGGGATATGAGCACATCTTGTGCACACAGACACAAAATAAGACTGGAGCACTTGGAAAACAGTTAATTGAATCTACAAGAGTAATCAAGAGTTTCTGCGTCAAAATGGCAATGCTGGTTCATGGTTAAGATGGAGGAATGCAAAGCCTACCTGTGTATAATGGCCACATGTTCCTCTGCAGCTATTGGTGGTATAACTGTAGGCGCTGACCTCATTGTACCAAGAGGTGATGGCTCCTTGCACAGTAAAAGCAGGGATTGAGCCAGTCCAGAGATTTTCTCCAACAGGGGTGAATTTGGGGTGAGCCTGTCCTGGAACTTTGAGGTATGTATTATGTTTGAATAAGCATTTCTTTGCCCAGGCTTTCGCAGTCTTTGCCAAATCTGGATCCCAACTCTGCAAAATAAAGACAACCAAAAATCACTTTGGTATTTTAGCAATGCAGTAATTCAGAGCAACTTTAAGCAGAAGCTGGGTCTCAGTCATGTATATGCTTTGGGATAATTTGTTGGTTTTTTTGTT